TTTTTTACACTTACTTTATTTCCATTCAAGAAAGATTTAAAATACAACATTTTGAATTAGCATTTCGATTTATCTAGCTTGTCAATGTGAGTTATGTTTTTTTAACCTCTGAAAAAAAAATTATTTTGTGTTTTTCTACAAAGCACTTGCCTAGCTGCCTTTAAAACTGCAGTTCGAAGTTCTCTAAGACGCCAGCAATTCAAAAAAGGATTGATTGATGAGTTCATAAACACCACAGTGTCAGCAAAATTCCAGAGGGTCGTCCAATCGTCCCTTGAAATGGTATACAGCGACAAGGAAATCAACATTGGTAGATAGCACAGAATAATAAAAACGTAAAATATAAACGAGTTTATAGCACTGCTCTTTAATCGTATGATGTTAAATTTGTTTTCATCTGATCTTTGTATTGCTTGGCGTTGAAAGTGAATCCGTAACTGATGCTGTTGAACGATTCTAAAAATTCGGATGTATGAGAATGAGGATATCAAGAGACAAACGCATATGGCCACGCATGTGCCTGCAAAAAATATGATCTTATTCAAAAAGTAAAATCCCGACAGTGTTAACACGGCAATCCACATTGTTATCAACATGTAGGCAACACGACGGACGGTAACTATAGCAGCATATCTCAGGTGATAGTGAAGGGCGGCAAACCTGTCCAAGCCTATGCTAGTTATTGTGCAAAGAGAAACTCCGCATAACAAAAATTGAATTATTTCGGACATTCTCAATGTGGAGTATATACGTACTTTTGAAATCTCGGTAGCGATATAAAGCGGTTGCACGAGAATCCCAACTAGCACATCTGAAACGGCCAAGCTGCAGAGCAGGATTAGGGACGGTAAACGAAGCGAAGGAGTTCTCAAAATTGCAACCAAAACCAATGTATTGCCAATGATAGATGTGATCATCAATGGGGCATTCAGGACACTGTTTATGATGACAATTGATTTACGATGAGAAACTTCTTCAGAGTTTGAGTAATAACTTGCTGAATCATTCTTGCCTGACGTATTTCTGTCCATTGTGGCGATTAGCAGTTCCAAAACATCCAAACTTCGGCAATCGAAGAGTTTGGTTTTTTCTCTGCTGAACTTCTTAGACAGCGCTTTTTAAGAGCCGCCGGCGATGTTCGATGGATTCCTCAAGTATAATTGCATCTGCAAATAAAAGGCCAGATCGACTTTGACTGAGAAAGTGTTTTGCCCAAAATACTGAAGTCCAGTTGTGTTCAAAGATGAAGTTGTTCGATTACCAATTCCAAACTGAAATACCAAACTTCAGAGATAGAAATGTGTTGCTGTTTTCCAAACTGAATCTTTCTGACAGTTCTTTTTTAGGAACCGTTGGTGGAGTTAGATAAAAGGTTAAAAGGCCAGATGGACAATTTACTGACAACGCGTTTGGCAAAAAATACTGTGGCCCAGTTGTGTTCAAACATAAAACGTTTAGTTACCGGAAATTAACATGTCTTTCTTGTGAAGGACTGATGATATCTATAGAAATACAGCGAGCCCTATACGCCAGTTGCCACTACGGCATATTACACTAAGATAAATGACAATAAGGTATTGTTTCACATCACAAGGTCGGATGTAATTTTTTTTATTGGAACAAATGATTTTGAAATTGAAGTTCGCGCAATTAAATTTTATGTAAATATTAAATTCAAATTAGACGTCTTTATGTCGCAGTGCAAACGTTAGACTTAAAAGCGTGAGAAAAACAAACTTCCAATCCAAATAAAAAAGGCTTTTGACTACTTAACCTTCTTTTGGATCGGTAAATGCCCAAAAAGTATTTCCTAAGTTCTATCACCTGTACCAAACGGTAATGATAAGTTTTAATGAGGAGCACATTTTTTATCAAAACTTTCTGCTTTCTCCATAATTCTACCCAATTGACCTCCTAAGTATCTAACGAGCAAACTTTGGGTCGATAAACGATCTTATGCAATCTTTGGTTAAAGAAAAGTATACTTTTTTTCCAAAACTTTCTGCTTTCTCCATAATTCTGCCCAATTGACCTACCTAAGTCTCTAACGAGCAAAATTTGGGCCGATAACCGATCTTATGCATTTTTGGTTAAACCATTAAGTGATAGTTATACCTAATTTCATTTTAAGTCAATGGAACCTAGCAAAAGCAAACCCTGTGGGGGCATAACTCCTTAAGGAAGTCTCTCCATCCCTGTCTGTCTTTGGACTCTCTCTCCACCTGTTGTCAGTGTTGAAGCCTACCTCTTTCATGTCCCCCTGCACTGACCTTTGCCAGCTGTTCCTGGGCCTCCCTCTCTTCCGCTTCCCCTGTGGGCTCCATCTCAAGGCCTGCTTGGTGGTGGTGGTGGTATATGGTTTGCGCACGGTGTGACCCAGCCAACCCCAGCGTCTTCTCTTGCATGATCTGCAATTCCATTTTCTCTTGCCCCGTTGTATGCCATAGGTCTTTCGTTCGGGATGTTATCTGGCCAATAAATTTGTAGAATTCTTTCGTTTACGAAAGTCCGGATCTTCTTTGAGGTGGCCTTTGTTGTTCTCCAGGTTTCAAAGCCATATAAGAGTACTGATCTGACATTTGTGTTAAAGATGTGAGGCTCAGTCTTTCTACCTATAGGTTTTGACCTCCACACTGGACTTAGATGAAATCTGCTCTTGCCTTTCATATTCCCGCTGCAGTATTACTGTCTGAACTACCATGCTTGCCCTTCCTTGCTCCATCCTTGCTTTACCATACTTCCGAGGTATGTGAACGTTTTTTGCACTCACTTTATTTCCATTCATAAAACATTTCAACACTTAGAATTAGCAAGTCTACTTTATCTCGCGTGTCTACCTGACTTATGTTTTTTCAACCTCTGAAAAAGATTAATTTTGTCTTTTTTGACAAAACACTCGCCTAGCTGCCTTTAAAACTGCAGTTCGAAGTTCTCTAAGACGCCAGCAATACAAAAAAGGATTCAGAGTTGAGTTCATAAAGAGCACAGTGTCAGCTAAATTCCAAATGGTCGTCCAATCGTCTCTTGAAATGACGTACAGTGACAAGGAAATCAACATTGGCAGATAACACAGAATAATAAAAACGTAAAATATAAATGTGTTTATGGCACTTCTCTTTAATCGCACCATGTTAAATTTGTTTTCTTCTGATCCTTGTATTACTTGGCGTTGAAAGTAAATCCGTAACTGATGTTGTTGAACGATCCTAAAAATTCGGATGTAAGAAAATGTGGATATCAAGAAACAAACACAAATGGCCACGCCTGTGCCAGCAAAAAATATGTTCTTGTTCCAAAAGTAAAATCCCGACAATGTAAACGCACTAATCCACATTGCTATTAACGTATAGGTAACACGACGCACGGTTACCACAGCAGCATATCTCATGTGATAGTGAAGGGCGGCAAACCTATCCAAGCTTATGCTAGTTATTGTACAAAGGGAAACTCCGCATAACGAGAATTGCATTATTTCGGTTATTCGCAATTTGGGGCATGCACGTACGTTTGCAATCTGGTTGACGATATAAAGTGGTTGTACGACAATTCCAACTAAAAAATCTGACACGGCCAAGCTGCAGAGCAGGGTTAAGGACGGTGAGCGAAGCGAAGGCGTTCTCAAAATGGCGGCCAGCACCAAAGCATTGGCAATGATAGACGTGATCATCAATGGAGCATTCAGAACACTGTTTATGACGAAAAATGACTTGAGACGAGAAATGTCTTCAGAGTTTGAGTAATAACGTGCTGAATCATTCTCGCTTGATGTGTTTCTGTCCATTGTGGCGATTAGCAATACTTCAGATATCGAAGAGTTTGGTGTTTTCTCGGCTGAACCTTTCAGACAGCTCTTTTTAACAACCGCCGGCGATGTCTGATAGATTCCTCAAGTATAATTGCATCTGCAAATAAAAGGCCAGATCGACATTTTACTGACAAGATGTTTGCAAAAAATACTGCAGCCCAGGTAGTTGTGTTCAAAGATGAAGTTGTTTCGATTACCAATTGCAAACTGAAATACCAAACTTTAGAAATCGAACTGTATTGCTGTTTTCCCAATGAAATATCTTTGACAGCTCTTTTTGAAAACCGTTGGTGGAGTTAGATAGATTAGTCAAAGGTAATTTTATCTGCAAATATGTAAGGCCAGATGGACATTTCACTGACAAGACGTTTGGTAAAAAATACTGTGGTCCAGTTTTGTTCAAACATGAAAATTTTAGTTCCCGGAAATTAACATGTAATATGTCTTCTTTCTTAAGGAGCGGATGATATCTATAGAAAGATAAGAAGGCCTATATCCACCAGTTGTCACTACGGCATATTACGCTGAGATAAATAACGATAACTTATTGTTTCATATGAGAAAGTCGGATGTATTTTTTGTATTGGAGCAAATGATTTTCGAATTGAAGCTCGCGCAATTAAATTTTCATCTAAATTACAAATTCAAACCAACCTTTTCTGTGTCGCTGTTCAAAGTTAGAATTAAAAGGGTAGAAAAAACAAACTTCCAAGCCAAATAAAAAAAAGGTTTTCGACTACTGAATTTGTTTTTGGACCAGCAAGTGCCCAAAGTGTGCCTCCGAAGTTCAATCACTTCCACCAAAAAGCGATGATAAGTTTCAAAACATTACATAATAGTTTTCCTACTTTCCATTCTAACTTAATGGAATATAGCCAGAGCAAACATATCCTAAAGCAACAAAAAATGATCTAAAATGACCCCAATATTCGTAGGCCTATCAATAACACAGAACAAAGCCAAATCCCAAGATGGAACTCAACACATAATTACAACTCAAGGAAAGCGTTTTTCTTATGAAAGCAATAATTACAAATCTTCACTAGTGGAAGAGCCAAACTTGGCCAGTTGTCAACTCTTTCCTACAATACACTAAGCTTTCCTTCTACCGTTGTTTTTTTAATGCAGGCTGTTTTTTTTCTTTTGAAAACAAGCTGTTTGCTTAGAAGCGACACGAAGAAGCTGGTATCGGTTCAATAAAATATTTCTCATTGGTGGGTTTGATAATATCATAGAGCGAAACATTTATTCTGACCTGCGATAAAAGCTTTTGTTTTGTGTGCGTAAGCGTGTGTAGCTGAGATAAGCGGTAAAAGACCCGCCAGGAAGAAGGCAATACCTCTTTTATTTGCATCACCCAAGGCCCGATCAGGAGAATGTCATGAAATGATAAGAGTCAAAATATGAAAAAAATATTAAAATAATATTACAATATTACAGCAAATAGACCTTATCGCGGTTTCGACGCCACCTTGACAGCAAATAACTTTCTCCAAAATTGAATTTTACACAATTTGTGAATCGCAACGTTAAAATACTAGGTAGAAGATTGTATTCACCAAGTTTGAAGGACGTAGCTTGACTAGAAGACGCTCAGTTAATTTTCTAATTTCCCCTAAATTTGTTTGTAATTTTTTTTCTTGTGAACCGCGTCTAGCCAGCCAAATTTACAGACAAATATATGGAAAATTAGAAAAATTAACTGAGCGTCTTTTAGCCAAGCTACATCCTTCAAACTTGGTGAATACAGTCTTCCACCTAGTATTTTAACATTGCGACTCACTAATTGTGTAAAATTATTTGCCATCGGATTCGTATACAAACACTGTAATTTCTGATCGCTTTGCCTACCCTTTAAGATGGCGTCGAAAACTATGATAAGGTCTATTATATTGAACTTGGAACAGATTCAAATTATCTTTGGACTTTTTAGAAACTCTTGATTTCCTGAAACTTATGCAATCATTATTTCAGGAGGAACTTTTTCCTGCTTTGCAATAACTAAAAATCCTTCTGCGGAAAAATAAAACACAAGGAGCTTTGCTTGAATCAACTTTTCAGAGAAAGCAAGAGCGGTCGATGTACACTCTGGGTTAGAGAACGGAACCGTCAAGGAGATTTGGTTACAAGACTGTAGAACAAACCAAAGGTAATTTAACAAGGAAATGGGTTTTTGAAATAACTGTACTGTCAGTGTAAAACGAAGACTGTGGATTGCAGGACTGCAGACTGCGAACCGGGGTAAAATGAGGACTGCAGACCAGGGGTAAAATGAAGATTGCAGACTGCAGACGTTTTCTTTTTACTGAATTGTGTTACCATTTCCATCGACTGTAAACAGCCAGAAAACCGGAGAGTTATTTAGGTTACCTTGCTCTCTTTACAACAGCTATTCAAAGCTCAACAGGAGCCAAATATACAACATTAGATTGATAAACAGTTCACAAACAGCACCGTGGTAGAAAAAAAAACTTCCCATTCTGTTTTATATTATATTCGTTTACAAAATATGGATAGGTAAACAACAGAAGATAGGAACAATAGAATTAACGAAAGTGCCCACTGCGTGCATGCGCTTCATTTTCGCTTATCAACCAGATCATCACTGCAAATCATCTAACACGGAGAGAAAGAACAAATCATGTACGTCTTTGGTGAGTTGCTGGACAATTAAAAGCGGTCGAGCTATGTCACCAGCGAGAAAGTCTGTAACTGACAGCAAGGATACAAAACATATTAATGAAGCTGGATAAAAGACGACGTTCTTAACATGGCGGCGAAGATAATATACCAGAGTGTTGCCCAGAATGGATCTTGATGATGATATTTGAGGGTTGTCTAGAAGTTTTGTATATGTAATCGCATGGGCCCGAGGGCAGATAAGAATTAATTTCACGCGTATTTTCAAAGTTTTCACAAAATTGCCCGAGTCGCGAAACAACGAGGGCAATTTGGAAAACTTTGAAAATACAAGTGGGATTAATCCTTAATTGCCCGAGGGCACTTGCTATTACTAATGTTTATAACATAATGGGCAAAATTCTGTACAAGGGAAAACGTTCAAGGTCTTGCCGTCGCGTAAACAGGTTTGCCGGTTGATATTAAAGAACAGGCTAGCAGTAGAACGGGGAAAGCCTACTGTAATAGTAACCAAAACACAAAGCAATTGCTTCACTCAAAGCAATTTCGTTACAAATAAAACTTTAAGCAATCTAATTTTATTCACCTGTTTGCCGAAGCTTGCAACGGCGTGCATGAAACTACTTCATCGACTGACGTAAACAAGTGTCCAAACGAGCTCTAATAACTTCTTGAATCCAAAACTCTCCTTTTTACCACGAAAACTCAACTTACCAACAAAATTTACGCTGTTTCTTTACACCGATAAGGTGACCTGTGATACTAATAAGGCGACCCGAAACAAAACAAAGAAATTAACTTTCAGTTTTGCAGCCGTGAAGTTCTGTAACTCTGTGCTTCGTGCGACACCAGCCTTCCCCACTCAAACTTTTTTCAGGCTGCGAATCAATACATTTTTGAATTGAAAAATCCTTTTGCTTTTCCACCAAAAGACTGCGCTTTGCTGCATTTCGATTTTCTTTCACGTTAAGATGAAATAACCACTTTTAGCAAACTCAGAAGGGATGGGTTTCTAAAATTCCTTTTCAAAATCCGTTTGAAGCGGGAAATCAACTTAATGCAGGCGTGCTCAGCCAATCTGCATCAAGCCCTCGTGATTAAGAAAAAAAATGCCCTCTCTCTCAGCCAATCAGCATTCGGCAATTTTGCCCCGTATGCGATAAGAATGATAATCATATCTAACGACTGATTCGGGTTTCTATTGCGTCGTTTATCATACTGTCTTCAGAATATCTGGTAGAAAGGAAATCTATTTTTAACCTAATACATGGTGACTCCCAACTAACACATCCAACGCGTATTATGAACTTACAAAGATACTTTTATTGCCTATAACTCTGGTTATGCCCGTTTTCTATGGTTCCCATTCAAAATATATGTATATAAAAAATAATTAAAGTCACCTATCACATTATGTATTCCAGTCAAAAGACCCTATGTTATATCGCGGCACTTCAATATATGAGAGATCATATTTTGAAATGCGAGAAAGATTTTAAAGGCGTGGAAATTATGACAGTTGTAAGCACAACTTAAGCAATTGTGAAAATAAAGATCTAGCATGTATTTTCTTTCCAGGTTTTATTTTCACATCTGGTTAAGTTGTGTATATAACAACGATGATTTCCCATGCGTTTTTGAATATATATATATATTTTTGACGATAATTGTAATCGATGCCGAATTCAATGTGAGCGACTCATAAAATTTTATAGTTCTTTTAGCCTTCATAAAATTGATTAAAAACAAGTCTTTTTATGATTTATAATGACAGCCAGCATTACACTAAATTGGAACTTTCGAGTTTGACTGACATTGCGTGAACATTTGCAATCAAACTACCATTTTGCATCTACTTCGAGAAAATTAACAGGAACAAAATGACACGACATAAAAAACAAATTAAAATATGCCCCGTTTTTTTGATGACATCTAACTTAGCCGCAATTCAAAAACACATGAAAACCAAAATTAGTAGCTCTGACTATTCTGATTCGCTTTGTATGCAGAAAATCTTTTTCGCTGTCTTCACAGCTGCCCCTCGAAGCTCCCTTAAACGCCAGCAGAACAAGAATGGGTTGATAGAAGAATTCGTAAACACCAAAGTTGTGGCAAAGTTCCACTCAGTTGGCCAGGGTTTCTGTGAGAGTCCATGAAGAGTCAACAGAATGTACATTGGAAGATAGCACATGACTAAAATTATGTAAAATATGAAAGTGTTAAGCGCACTTTGCTTCATTCGCACATAATGTAGGTCGTCTTCAGAAGTGGAACATTGCATCGCTTCCTGCTGAGTGTGAATCTGTAACCGATGCCGACGAACAATGCGATAAATTCCCATGTAAGAAAAGGTGGAAACTATAAGACAAATTCCCGTAATGACTGCTATTGCAAAGTGATAGATAAAGTGGTTCGAAAAGTAAACAGCCGATGAAAGAAAGTTGATGCACCATACCAGAGCTATCACAAATTTAACACGAGATATAGTCACCAAACTAGAATATCGCAGGTGATAGTGAAGAGCCATGAAACGGTCCACACTTATAGCCGTAATGATCAGCAGTGAGACTCCGCAAAAGGAATAGGCTAACGTATCCCATAGAATGTCCAAAAGACGGTTTTCAGTGAGTTCCTTTATAATATAAAACGGTTGAGTAATGAGTCCCACGAGAAAGTCTGCAACAGCGAGATTGCAGAGCATAATCATGGAGGGTGAGCGAAATGAAGGAGTAGTTAAAATGGCGGTCAATACCAAAGCGTTGCCCAGAATGGCTGTGAGAATCAACGAAACATTGAGAAAACAGTTGATGATGACCATAACCCCATTGTTAGCGAGATCTTCTGTATTTGAATTGTTATCGCTTTCAAATGGTCCGGAGTGGTTCATTTCTCCCCTGTCGAATCCTTAGCTTCGTCGAACCAGAGCAAGAAAGGAGAGCTTCTTTTACTTGACCGCAGGGGGGCACACCGAGACATCTTATAACCAAATTTCACAAAGTGAACAGAATAAAATTTATTTTTTTTAGAGCAGCTGATTTCCAAAGTGTTTGCAATTAGTATCTGTCCAAAACGTGACAATTTTTGCACGCCAGGATAAATTTAGGAGTGACACAAAAGGCTACTTAAAACGAACCTTCAGATAATGGTGAGTGTTTTAGAATATAGAGGCGATTTCTTCTACAAAGGACTTAAAATGTGGAGTTAAATTTATTGGGTTTTTAGTCTTCCATCCGTGCGAATACAGGTGTACTTGTCAGTCAGGTAAAAATTAATTAAACTGGCAATCGACTGTTTTAAAACAGGATCGTGATAATTTACATAACACTTACAATATTGTACTGAAGAGGAAATAAAGGTCTTTTCCTTTTTCTTAATTTTCTCTTGTTTCTGGATTTTTGTTGTTTTTTTTTTCTGACTTTCATGCTGTAATTTCACTCCAGAATTTGAAAATCAACTTGACGATTGTAACAATTGTTTTACTGGAGAAAACGAAGCTTTAGTTCAAACGTGACACAGACAATTAATGTAGGCGTTTTAACACAGAGCAGACATTCAGTCGTTAATAGCTGTTAATGGATTTTCTTGCTAAGATAAATATGGCAATCCACAATGGTCCATTTTAAAGATTTTTTTTTGTTAAATTTCTGAAAACAAGTAAATTATAATTTCGCCAAAGAGCTGTTTACCTACACAATGGAGTGTGACATTGGTGGCGAATAAACGTTTTAAGTGGCTCTTCTACTTAAAAAGTTGAAAGTTAAAATATATAGGCGCACTCCTTCTTTCGACGCCATATCAATTAAATTGATTTTGAATTGAAGGCTAGGGCTTTGTAAAGTTCTGTATTTCTAGCTTGGCAAATTTCAAAACAATGAGAACTTAAATTCTTAAAAGTTCAAAAATTAACACGCTCCCCTAAGAGCTTTCAGAAAATACATATGTAATTGGCAATCATATGTAATTTAACCGGAGCTTCTGATTTAAACATAAACAAAATTAGTTCATGCGCTTAGACATGCACGCCTAGTTCAAAATTCTTCCTTGTTTTACTGTTAATTAGGATGTATTTCCTGAAACTGTTAGCAGAAGTTATTCGGATGAGTTTAGAATTATTTTAAGAAAACATCAGATATATTTTTCACTTAATATTTCCAGCCTTTGTGTCATTTGCTGTTGATTGACATTTTCTACAGATATCTAATTCTTTAGTGTGTTTAAGCACCAAGCACGCAAAGCACACAGTATTTTTTTAAGTTTAATGTCTCGTGCTTACGCACATGGTATACTCGGACTTTCTCAGCGTCTTTCTATTTGTTTTTGCTGTCGTTTTTTTCCATACAGCAAGTGGAGAATATTTACTGACATATAAAATAAAGAGTTTCTTTACCTAACTCATTTGCCTCATTACCCTAAAAAGAACTTAAATATATCAAATTTATTTTTCTGACAAAATGACTCTCTATTCCGTAAAAATTCAATGCAAAATTTATTCAGTAATTTGCTCAGAAATTGAGAAAATGTTGGTTGACGTCAAATACATGTATGAAGGTACGTTAGGAAGAGTAAAGAGTGGAAGGAGAGACAAACACAAGCTCTGCTTAATTCTTACCAACATTTATATCTACTGCTAATAAACAAACGTCCAGAATTGAATGAATTTTGCGTATTTGACTCTTGTTTTATCGCTTAAGTTTCGTTTCTTATTGGAAACGGTAATTTTAAAAATGTTTCATAGGGATTCAGTTGTTACGTAACCAAAGTTTCTATGTTTTGAATATTTTTAAACTATTTCTCGTACTAATAGAACAATTACTCAATTACATGATAGGAAGTTGACATGAAAATAATAGGCCACATTCGTATTCTTGGTAGCTAGTGGACTGGAAGTAGCTTGCAATGCAGGCTCAAGTGAGGGAATATCATCTAAAAGAGATAAAAGATGGAATCTACCAGAAGTTCGAGTAACAAGTGGACAAAAACCTAATACCACGATTATTTACATTGTATTGCAAACTTCTGTGCGACTGTTTCAAATATCTTCTCAAAGAAAATCATTTCTAGCAACACCAAACGTCGAAAATGAACGTTGAACTTCATATGAAACCCTTGAAAGTACTGGTGAAATGAAACTGATGACGAAATTTTGCCTGTGTTTGCACAAGTTCTCTGAACTTTGAAATTTATATTCTCTCGTTCCCATGGGAAATTGTTTTCGGTGTTATTTCAGGCAATTATTTACGTATTTAGCTTTAAGAAAACGTAAAAGTGACTGCGAAATACTTAAAATTATATTGATACCAGATTTTTGTCCACTAAAACCTTAAATTGCTCGATTTTCTATCGGATTTCGTCTTAATGTTATTTGCATTTGAAAGGACTCCTCACATTAGCCTCAATAGTAATTAAGCTAGTTCCCATCCAATACCGAGGATATGAATATTGTCCATTGCAGAGCGTTTTTTCTCACGATGCTACTACAGCAGCCATGCAAATTTAATGAAATGGAATAAAGCGTATACATAGGAAAATATTTCAA